CACACACACACACACACACAAAAGTGTACAAATAAAATGTTGATTTTTGCCATCCCGGTTTTATTAAAGCTGAAACATAAAACGTATGTGGCTATTTTAAAGTAAAATTTTATTGTCAACATTCCAAAATGAAAAGAACATGGAAACAGTTAACATAAAAAAATAATAAATCCTCTTTTTACAGGAGGGAGTGTTTTGATCAAGAACAACACTTCGTATAACAGAAGGATTTCAATGACGTTTGACTCTGTTGACAAATCAGCTGCAGCAACTGCTGAATGTTTTTCGTCCACATTCACCATGACAGATTCTGGCATCTTTTCTTCAACTGGTGCCTTTGTTTCGTTTTTCTAAAGAGAGGAAAAAAAGAAAAACTCTTAACAACATATGTACAGAATGAAAAAGAAAGAAAAATGTCATGTAAAAGTGTAAAAAAGGAAAAGTGGGGGCATAAAATATATTTTGACGTTAGAGAAATTATTCAGATAGTCTGCACAAACCTTTCAGGATGTTTGAACTATTGCTGTACATTTCATCAGGTAAAGACCTTACTATATCCATAAAACTACAACTTTAAATCACATTTAAACTGGTTTAAAGACCAGATCTAGAAATTGGATGGATGAAACAAAAGGCATGAACTATTTTTATTAATCAGCAATCTTGGCCGAATGAACTTTAACTGCAACGTGGCTGAAACATAACGTGACAAAACTTTGGCCACTAGTTTATTCTATATTCACCAAATATACAAAAGCTATTGAACATTGTTTCATTTCAGGTTAAACTGAAATAGGAAGTTAACTTTTTGTAAATGTAACCTACCTTTGCCCGGGCGAACAGTTGGGCAATGGTGGGGTTTTATTTTTCTGACAGTCGCTCCATTTTCCGAACAGCTTCGTCAAACACCCGTTCAACCTCAGCAGCATCTCGGTTCCGCCATACTTTTTGGCCTTTTACAATAGCGTCTGTGCACTTTAATCCACTATTTACGAAAACAGATGCATTGACAAAACGCATAAATACATTTGATGGTCATCTGTGTACAACGTCGCTCCTGAATAACAACCATTGACGTAGTTTTTTGCGGCTGTTGTCATTTCCTGCATCCACCATTTTGCATAATTAGCACAAAACTCAGAGTGGCAGGCCACAGGCAGCCTTCAGCTCCCCCTGTTTGTGCCTGCTATGTTGTCCCGTGATGTCCYGCACGGACAGCAACGTAATGAAAAAAATATCAACATTTTTAAAAAGTGTGCTCCAGCGAACCCCCCACCCTCCCCCAAGTGTATGGTTTGTACACTTGAAAAAATATTTATAATTTTGACTGACCCCTAAGGTCAAATAATGAATAGGATCAATTTCACTTTTATTTTTCTGGTAGTCAAAGCATTTGTGTTTGTTTGCTTTTGATTAGCATTCATTGCTGCCACTATTAAGGCACAACGGTTGGTTATGCAAACGAGCATGCTGTTGGCTATATTCACACGGAGCACACCAAAGAGGCTGATAAACCAGGTCCATAATGAGGGTAAATTTATGCTTGCCTATGTTTGCACATAAAGAGGCACACAGGGTTGCAGGTTTTACTATTGCATTACTGCATCTTTAGTTTGAGATTAAATGGCCATWAATGCTCTACATAAAAGTTCCTTGGCTCTGCACTGCTATGTTTTTCATACGTTAATGAGCTTCAGCATTTTTATTTATTTATTTTTAACCACTTAAAGTTTTTTTAATCGATTTATATGAGTATGCCACTTGCAGAAACTGGAATTTTCTGAAGTGGTTCTTACAGTTATGACACACTATTCAAATGTTCTTTTAAAGCTGTAYAAGCATCCTTATGTGTCAGTTCTTAATAAGTAATTATGTTTMAAATACAGTATTAGTAAATAAACCCACAGTAGTCATTTTATGGTGACAAAAAACTTTTATTTTGAGTATTTTGTATTTTCTGACTCAAGCATTACTACATGTAAATCAGCAAACTATTGTGTTTCACAGCATTGCGTGTTTTGTGTCATTTGGCAGTTGGTATTCTCAGAAAATATTTTCAAAAATTCTCTTTGTAGGCATACTATTGCTGAGTTGTTTTTCAATGTATAACTTTACTGAAGTGCTTTTTAATGCTGAGTGGTCAGCAGACAGACAGAACACAGACTGGAAATGGGAAAAAAGAAAGAAATAGACAAAAAAGACTTAGAAAAATCTAATAGTTTTACTTTGAAACATTGTTGGTTGAGATGGCATTCTCTTGTGACAATTTGATAAAATGCACTCAATGTTTTTTTTTTCACATGTAATAGTCCACTGATCAGTGTGTCTTTTGACACAAATTGATTCATTCAGATTTCTGTTTTTGCAGAGAAACCTGTTTTGTTAACTCTATGTGTTGTCACTAATATTTAAAGGATTTCTTTCAGCCATGAGACTTACACATTCTACTAGAGCAGTCCTGCATTGTTTTCTCAGCTTTGATTTGCCTTTTTGGACTGTTTATTCTTGACTTTTGCTTTAATTTTCCTGCCGATCTAAAYTCTTTCATCTTTTCTCAGGCAAGCAGCATAATTATGTTACTGTAATCAAAAGGCAAGTCCTATTTATTCAGGTGATTAAATTTAGATTTGCAAACAGATGAAGTGAGTTGAGAGATTAAAGTCTGCCAAACTGAGCAAACCTGAAGTAGAAAGAGATATGCTTGATWACTAAAGGCTGTAAGTGAGAAAACTGTTTTATTTGACCAAAGAAAAGCAAACAGTGCTAATTTGATAGAACAACTTTTTATTGATTCCTACGGGTAGCTTTTATTCTAAGAAGTCGTACTGTATACTACTACTACTACTACTACTACTACTACTACTAC